ATTTCTCCCTTGCTTTAGGGTTATTTTTGGTGCATTAGGGAGAAAATTAGAGATACAATATCTTTAGAGATTTTCTTAGGGATTTTTTCAGTTATAATTTTTTTCCTAAGAATCAAAAAAAAAATTAAAATTTCGTAACTTTCGAACATTATTATATTACATGTATGTAATATGTGCAATGAATATATTTATTTAATCATTATATACGCTTATCCTTTATGTAATAATCACATTGAGGAAATACGTTCAATTGCAGCATTCTAAAATGGTAGACTCAACAAGCCAAGGACAAGCTACGAAATGTTGCCAAATTTTTTATTGCCTCCAGCATCAGGGAGCTCATTGATATTTTAAGTTTTTTTTAGGGAGAATTGAAATTACTTTAGGTTGAAGTTTTTTAGGACCATCTGGCAACACTGCTATGACCACTTACCACCGTACCACCTTACAAGCAAACAAAAAAAGCTCACAATACAGCCCTTTGTCTAAAGTATTTTTGCTGGGCAATTTCGATTTATTTTGCCAAAATTAGAGATGGTCTTTTTACATTTTTCTGTGGCACCTAAATTAATTTTTTGTAATCTTAAAACTCTCTGGGAAAATGAAGTGTAAATATTATATAAGCTCAACCGCATTTGTACATACATATACCCCTTTAATTCGATCATTCTCCCATTGCTAGCTTTCGAGGCACTTTCTCTCACTAATGTTTCAGTTAATTTCTTTCAATTTTCTTTCGTTTTATGTGTTCTCTTGTTACACATTTTGTAACCGATACTTTCTCTTCGAGAAACATCAATATACCAATTGAAGGATATGCATAGTTACTTTGCCCAAAAAACTTTTCAATATTATTATTAGTACATATATATTTAATGCAAATACAATATGTATGTATACAAAAAGGGCTCTTTAGAATAAACAGTTTTCAGTTTTAATTTTAAATATATGTATGTAAATGTAATAGTTAGCTGAATGCCTTATCCCATAGTGACCTCTACTTCTCTTCTTCTGCTTTCATTCAATTCTTAGCATAATTCTTATATACATAGTTTTCGTACATACATAAATAATTTTAGGTTTTATGTAACAATTTGTACTCTCTTATTTCAGTATTTTATGTAAATACTTTGTAGACCCTTTCCCGCAGTTTTTTGAAATTTTCACCATCCAATTACCCAATTGACACGTTTTCTTTATTTCGAATGCATCAAAATCTAAATCAAAATCAAATGTCACAATCAAAACATCGAAAACGATTATTAATGCGTTGTTGCGTACAGTGCTCGCCATGGTAGATGTGGACGTATTCACATATACAAAAACAAATTACCTACATATACTATTTTCCTTTAAACATACCTACTTATAACCAAACACATACTTACTTACACAACAAGCGTAAATATGTTTTATGCCAAACAAATGCCCAATTTAATTATGCTAATTGCAAAGCTGTGCATATTTTAATGCTACAGTCGGAAATGTGTCAAATTATAGGGCCTACGATTGCAGGATGTTCACTGCACGCAATTGCCATCCGAATCGGAATGGTTATTATACATAGTGGAACTTGAAATGAGAAATCTAGAATACATATGAAATGTGAAAGTGAATCAAAATCAAATAAATAATAGAAAACTACTTTGTTAATTTGTTCGTATGGAAGAAAATATATTTGTAGTTGTACATAGGTGCACACAAAGCGGAAATGCAAGTCAAACTGAAAGCAAAAAGCCAAGAGCGAACCGCTCAAAGCATTTCGCCGCAATGTGCATACTCGTATTTCAATATTTCAGTACCCCACCCGACCAGCTACAGTACCATCCACAAAGTACAGTTGTTATGGAATTGAACTTGTTTTTATTGTATTTAGCTTGCTAGCAAATGTTTACTGCTCAAATTAACTGTTAACTTTGCTAGCCTCAGCTAGCTAAGTCAATGCGTGTTATTACAAGTATGTTTTTTTTTTTTTTTTTTTTTTAGTTTTCTCTTTACGTAAGAACGCTTTTTATTGCAAATAAAGCAAATTTACTGGTTCCAAGAGTTCATAAATATTTGCCGTTTTCATACAAGTAACACAGTTTAATAAATTGTCATGCATTGTTGGTAGTTGTAATTAATTTAATTGGTCAAACGCGCTTACACGTTGAAAAACCAATTATCTTTAATGTGTTTTTTTTTTTTGATATTAATATGGGTACATTTTATTTTATTTTTTAATTGAAAAAAAAGGTTAACAATTAAAAAAAAAAAAAATGTTGTAATCAAAACTTTAGCGCCACTTTTTTGTTGCGGTACTTTAAGGTTACCATAACACTTTAAGCTTCTTCTTTGCCAACAATACAGAACAAAAACAGTACAAACAAGTGTAAATAATGTAGTGAATTAGTAAAATGTTTCAAATTTACTGCCAGTTTTGCGGCCGATTTCGATTTTGTTGACATTTATCAAACAAGAAAAAGCGACAAATTTTGTTTTAAACTTACAAAAAATCGACTGCAGACCCGATTGCTAGTATTGTGTACTCGTTATACGCTTTACTCGTTACCGATTTGATTTGGAACGGCAATAAAGTGTTTCGAGAAAAATCTGTAGTTTTAAGAAAGTAGGTAGCAGCTGCAAAGCGAACTTTGTGTCTTTCAATACAAAAAAACGGGTAGCAATATTTCGAAGAAGAGACATTCAAGCTTACCGAGATGCATACCTTCATAAGTACTTGGGCTGGGAGGCTCGAATAGTTTATTGATATTCGCATTTACGAATAGTGTATATTGGTACCAGGAAAATAATTAAAATTTTCTTTCATTTGCTTTTTTAACTTTTTTTCATTTTTTAGCTTCTTATTGGCATCTCGCACACCGTTTTCAAAAAGAGACACAACTAAAAATTTGGCATTTTTGAAATTATTCGCTAAAAATGTACACATAGCTTTTATTTACCTTTCAGCAAAAGCTGGAACAAATTATTGCTATAATTTGTTAAAAAACCTTCGGTAAAGTCGCCCTTGCCCATATGATTAGCATGCGCTAAAAAATAGTTTTTCGTATTTTCTGGCAAAAGCGTAGTTTTGAGTTGTGCCCGTTTCGAAGACGGTGTGCGGTTTGTATGGAATCCGATTTTTTATCTCATTGAAAAAAATAAAATTTCTTTAAAAAATTGTTTTTCTTGTTTCTTTTTTTTTGTAAATTTTAGACTTTTTATTTCACGCATTTTTTAGTAAGTTAAGTTTTAAAGCCAGACTTTTTTGAAGTTTTAGTTATATTGTACCGGTAAGCATGAATTAGCTTTAAAACGCTTAAAAATTTGTTCCGAATTACGTAAATATATTAAGAAAGACATTTTGAACCAATTTAATTTGTCAAACCAATAGCGAAATGGCGCAAAGTTCCTACAGGCAGTTAAGTGTTTTTCTCATTACCACCTATACTACAGCCCAAATAGAAACCCCGCCAGTATGTTAGCTTGTCACATCCACCTCAATCGTTTAGCTGCTACGTGCGCAGCATTTAGCGTATATGGAGCTCCCAAACCAATTCTATAATTAACAGTGTTCAACCGACTGGCTGCAGCAGCAACTTCAGATTAGCTTAACGAACTATCATGCATATAACTAATTTTATATTTAGATAGTTCTTATTTATATTTCTTTGTTTTTATAACTTTTAATTTTTATTTCACAAAAACTTACAGTTAATCAAAAAAAAATATATTGTTTTTTTTTCAATTATACAAAATTTTTTACCAACCTGATGATATGTATATAGTACGTGTTAAACCGTTTATATTTTTTTTGCTGTTTTTTTCTGTCCTCACCTCTTATGAGTACATGTGTTCGTGTATTTTTGTGTTGTGTGCAATTGACACCTAACTATTTTTAGTTAATCTATTTTTAAACCCGAAAAAAAATAAAATAAAATATATAATTAACAGAACATTATTTTTGGAAGTATATACATACGTAATTAATTTTAACTGTAAGTCACTTTGTCTTTAGTTTTATAAGTTTTTCTCTCTTTTTACACTAAATCAAAATCCAGCATTTCGCATTTCGTTTGCTAGTTCCAAGCATTTCAGCACCACTACTGATCATTTAAGAGTTAATACACCTAACGGTAAACACCTCTCCCTTCAAAAGTCAAGGCCCTCACCTTTTTCTCCCGTAGTCTTCACTTCAACAGTCCAGCAATCCAAAACAGCAACAGAAAAATCACGAAAGGATTAGCATAGCCATATGTATCTGAAAACCCTAAAATATTTTTATTTAATATGTACAATATTTTAGTTCTAATACTCTTATATGTTTTTCAATTTTCACAAAATTGTATACTTTAACCGCTGTAGGTAAGTGTCAAGTAGGCACATTTGTGTAATAAGTCCCAAACTCATAGCGCATACATTTTACGCCCTCGGTGGCTAGAACGCTCCATTCACCCCGCATCAAGGACTTAACCGATCGCCACTACATCCACCTGTTATTTCTTACACAAACCTCCAAAGCTCACACACACACACACTAGTCTCACCCACCCAGCGATTCTAGAGATGCATATGCTAATAAATATTTATAAATAGTATAGAAACCCTTGAAATTAGGCTGGCATGATCCTTTGGAACTGGTTTGATGTAAAAAAAAAAGCTGAAAATGCTTGAAAGTGTGTGACTTGCAACAAAGTAACCAACAACAATTTTCAGCGCCTTGACTATATGACTTTCAGTGTAAGATCCCTGCCTCCCGGAAATGTATGCTTTCTAACAAGCAACAGCTGCCTCCAGCTGCATTCTATATTAATGCTCTTATAAACTTACATTACTTTAAGTTTAGCGTCTCTTTAGATCTTTAAAATTATCATTTAGTATATAATAGCCGTTGAAACTTAATTTGATTAGCGCAACCTTAAGTAAGACCTGTAATGCGTTTCAATTGAAGTACAACAAAAACATAATGCCTATACAAAAGAAAAAAAAAAAACCAAAAAAACCAAAAAAAAAATAATACAAATTTTTAAGCAAAACAGAAAACAAGCCTCTGAATCGAATTGAATTGAATTCTACTCAACAGGTTATCGCAGTGATATCCATACTATTTATAGTCCTGTCTACCATAGCCCTGACGTTGAACACCCTACCACAACTACAACACAGTGAGAATGGTACACCATCCGATAATCCGCAATTGGCTATGGTTGAGGCCGTTTGCATATCGTGGTTCACCTTAGAGTATATACTTAGGTTTAGTGCGTCGCCGGACAAATGGAAATTCTTTAAGGGCGGCCTTAACATAATCGATCTATTGGCAATACTCCCATATTTTGTTTCCCTATTCCTATTGGAGACGAATAAGAATGCAACGGACCAGTTCCAGGATGTGCGCCGGGTGGTGCAAGTATTTCGCATCATGCGCATCCTGCGAATCCTTAAGCTGGCCCGTCACTCAACGGGCCTGCAGTCGTTAGGCTTTACGCTACGTAATTCATATAAGGAACTCGGTCTACTAATGCTGTTCCTGGCCATGGGCGTTCTCATATTTTCTTCGCTGGCATATTTTGCCGAAAAGGATGAAAAGGATACAAAATTCGTTTCAATACCGGAAACATTTTGGTGGGCGGGTATTACAATGACAACTGTTGGCTACGGGGACATCTATCCCACTACTGCACTGGGAAAGGTTATTGGTACTGTGTGTTGCATATGCGGTGTTCTGGTAATCGCTTTGCCTATTCCCATCATCGTTAACAATTTTGCTGAATTTTATAAGAACCAGATGCGACGCGAGAAGGCGCTCAAGCGACGTGAGGCGCTCGATCGGGCGAAACGTGAAGGCAGCATCGTCTCCTTTCATCATATCAATCTGAAAGATGCCTTTGCCAAATCCATGGATCTCATAGATGTTATTGTCGATACAGGTGCGTACAGTAAATTATTGAATACATATTTACAGTTTAAAATATTATATAATAATCGTATAACAAAAATATTTCGAGAAAAATAATATACACATACGTATCAACACATATAAAATCATTCATAATCACAACATAATACTCAATTTATTTGTATATTTAAGAGTTCATACATTTTAAATTCAATTTACATTTTAATAAAACACACAAAAATATCCGTTAGTTAACACTTTTTTAACAACCTCGACACACTTTCGTATAACAAATATAAATACATACATAAATATATAAGTAAATTAAACGTAAATAGTCGCCTATATTAAGAATAACACAAGTTTAGTAAATTTTTCAAATCGTAGTTGTAGCTGCCTTGAAGTGAACTGCTGTCGTTAATTTGCTTAATTATTTGTACCTAATTTGTTGCATCTTTTCATCACCTTCGCCATATATAGATAACTAGAATTTTCTTTTAAGCCTCCTGAAGGTTGCTTTTCTATTTATTTTATACAAAATCCTTTTTTTTTCTTTTTTATAATTCGATTGCATGTACTCGTTTTCTGAATTTCACTAGGCATTGAAATGACAAAAAATATTTGTTTTTTTTTTTTGTAAATTCAAAGCCTAGACGAAACTCGGCATTACTATGAAAATAAATTGCAGCCACAGTTCAGAAATTTCAATTATGTATGATATAAAACAAAAATCTTTGATGATAGAAATTTTCAAAATATCTCTAGCAATGTAGTTATTAAAATTTTTTATTATTAAAATGTAGCTTCATAGCGGTCAAAATATACTCAAAAACCTTATTAATTAGAAATGAAATGATACCTGTGTACGTAAATATGCATAAGTAGTATAGCTATGTATATAAAAACAACATACTTATGTATATCTTAAGAACAAAAATTACATAAACTTAATTAAAAAAAAATTCAAAATTTTCAGTTTTTAATTAAATACGTTTACTATGCACAGAGAATAAAGCAAAAATATAGCATAACTATTCACACGAAAAATCAGGGAACTGTATCCACACTACTGCAAAAATCCGAGAACCTAGGTACATACATACGTATGTATGTACATATATTGGTGCGGTCCTTAAATGTAGGAAGCAACGATTGGTAGGGCCCAGTTTCGAACCCCGTTCCGACCAATTTCCAAAAATATCATTTTTTATTTTCATTTTATTTCGATATTTATGGGTATTTCCATATGTCACGAACGTGACAGTCGTATATTTCAATGAGATACAAACATGGAAAATACTTTTTTCTTTTACTACTTCGGACCCAGTGTAGCACATATTTAGCTCTATATTTAACCGAAAAAAAGAAAACAATCGAACCGGTCCTTAAATAAACCCCAGTAGATAATATCAGGAGTCAGGCCTTCCTGAGAGTCAAGATGCCTTCCACTCTACATTCGTTTCTCCTTTCTTTTTTGTATGGAGTGGCACAAATTGAAGGGCTTCTGCTTCGTTCCCATGGAAGAGCTTCCAGAACGGCTTTTATAGGAGGTACTTCAGAAGACCTTTTGGAGGAGTTCTTTTAAAGTTTCTTGTTTAATTTATAAAAATTATACATCTTTGAAGTATTTGCTTACGGTTTATATCAAATATGCTTAGCAAAGGAAGCACTTTTTTCAGACCTTCTTGGGTAGGTCTCCTAGAATGGCTTTACTTAAGAAGGCCTACCTAAATTATCTTCTGGGACGCAATTAAAGAGGAATACGTTATGTGGCAAAAATGGAAGTTGATTTTTTTTCTTACAAAATCGGAAAACTCTTGCGAATTGAGGATAGCTGTTTTCATGAAACTTGTTTTAATATGACTTGGAGCAATTCTAGTTGTTTTTAGATTTTTTTAATTAATGCAACTTGATTCAATTTTCTTTTACAACCCCACTCAAGTGTAAAACGCTAAGTGACATAGCATGACGTGACATGAATTTCCATCGTGACGTTTTTGTTAATATTGCTTTTAAATGAATTTTTACGCAAATGGAACATGATTTTTATGTCAGATATACTTGACTATGACTTCAGCGCCAGTAAAAATGTTATATAGCGTTTAAATAAGAGCAAAAGGTGGACCACGCTCATATTTTTACTTTTTTTAGTTGTTTACATACAATAATTAAAAGTATTCCAATTTCGAACTTCGAAGGCCCATATCTCGATCTCGGAGGCTAACTTCGAAAAACGAAAAAAATACTTTTTTAATTAAGACTCAATCTCTTAAAAAATTTCCAATACCCAGCTAAGTGCTGTACAGTGTAATTAAAATAAAAAAAAAAATTAATAATAATTAAAGGAACTCAAAAAGCTGATGGCATGCCGCGGGATTCAAACCTCGAGGCTCGCTTAATTCGCAATACTTCCGTCCATCGGGGTGCAATTTTTATCAAATTAACTGCTTCGTTACAGCTGATTAACGTTGTCCTATGCCTATGCTATAACACCCCTTTTATGATTTTTTAAGAAACACATACTTGCATACCAATCTTCACATGAATTGTCTGACACGCAAACCTTGCAAAACATCCAATTCCAAATATTTTTCATAAAGTTTAGGTCCTGTGAATCGGACGAACTCTAAAAAATGTACGGCTTTGCTTCGTTATCCTCGTTCTTACAGCTCCTGTAGCGCGAATCGGTGCGTAATTTTGCTAGCATATTCAAGATGGTGGACGCCCGCTTGCAGTCGCACCTCCTGGTGAGCAGACGCTGTAGACTTCAGTGAGCCCTCAAGCGGAATAAGTCGAAATGGCCCCACCGAAGCCCCCTCTCTTTCTGCCGTAAACCAAGACTCCACTCGGATTGGTTACCGCATCTTGCACATGGGTTGCCAACGTTGCCCAGAGAGTGCGAACGAGATTGCAAGAGTCGGGATTGAGTAAAGGCGTGCCACTGTAACTGCATACCCAGAGCAACGACTATGCCCCATTACTGTTGGCCCTCTCTCGACGAACAAAATTCACGCTCTACAAATCTCTTATCATGTTCGTCTATATGGCGCAGAAACTTGGACGATGTCGAACAGAGATGAGAAGACTTTGGGGGCTTTTGAGAGAACTATTCTACGCCAGATCTACGGCCCTGTTTTCGTGGACCACGGGTGTCGGAGAAGATGGAATGGCGAACTGTATGAGCTTCTTAACGACATGGATATAGTTAAGCGCATAAAAATACAGCGATTGCGCTGGCTTGGACATGTTGTACGCATGGATGACGACGCTGTGGTGAAAAGATTCTTCGACTGCGCGTCCATGGGTGGACAACGAAAGCAAGGGCACCCACGAACTCAATGGAAGGACCAAGTGCAGAAAGACCTGTCTGCGCTCGGGATAACCAGCTGGCGAAAATTCGCGCAGGAGAAAAGCAATCGGGGAAGGTTTTTGGTCTCGTCCCAAACCGCCAAACGGTTGTAGTGCCAAATAAGAAGAGGAAGAAGAAGTATCCAATACTAAAAGTGTTATGTAGTAGAATTAAAATGAATGGTATGCTTTTGTTGGTTCCATCTAGTCTTTCCTTCTGTTAAAACCACTACTAGGAAAAATGGAAAAGGCAACAAAGTCTAAGCGGTTGAAGTTATTTCGGAGATCACCATATCTACTCATCAGGCTTCTCTTTCTAGACTTCAGCATCCTAGAAAATTATATTGACCTAAAAACGAAAGAACTCATTTTCTTACGTGTAATTCCTATATATTTATATTATGATTTTGTTATCAATACTATTATCGATTATTTATCGATTTTGTTATCAATTTTGTAATCGATTTTGCTATCGATATTTTTATCGGTTTTGTTATCAATATTTTTATCGATTTTCTAAACGATTTTTGTTATCGATGTTGTTATCTATATTTTTATCGATTTTGTTATCGATTTTCTAATCAATTTTGCTACCAATATTATTATCGATTTTGCTATCGAAATTTTTATCGAATTTGTCATCGATTTTGTTATCGATATTTTTATATAAGGAAAATAAATGTAATTAGAAGGAACAGGGGTAGAGGTAGGGATCTAGATAGAAAAAAGACAAAAATATAACCTTAAGGAAAATCAGATGTATGTATGTATATTGGTTTTGATACAAAATAGATATGTAACGTAAGTTTCACTTCTTAAGTGGGGACCAGGCGCACTTACTTTTTTTTTAAGTATGCATTGTATTCTACAAAGAATTACGAATACTTTGATACCTTAGCAAGAGGTGTGTTTTCAGAATAATCCCGCTGCACTATGTCCATGTCGCTGTAAAGCACGATGAGCTCATCGTTCCATCGTTTGCGGTACTCGCCGTCGCCAACGCTTAAAGGCCCGTAAATCTTCCGCAAAATCTTTCTCTCGAATACTCCAAGAGCCGCCTTATCATGTTGTCATTGTCCGTGCTTCTGCGCCATATACTAGCACGGGCAAGATGAGTGACTTATAGAGTGTGGTTTTCGTACGTCGAGAGAGGACTTCACTCCTGAATTGCCTACTCAGTCCAAAGTAGCACTTGTTAGCAAGAGTGATTCTGCGTTAGATTTCCATGCTAACACTATTACCGGTGTTAATGCTATTCCCAAGTAAACGAAATTCTCTACTTTCTCGAAATTATAACTATCAACAGTGACGTGGGTGCCAAGGCGCTGACTGTTTGTTTGATGACAGGAGATACTTCGTCTTGTCCTCGTTTACCACCAGAGCCCTTCGTTTTGCTTCCATATCCTACTTAAAAAACGCAAAACAGACTTCGCGGTTTTTTACCAATGATGTCGATGTCATCAGCATAAGCCAGCAATTGCACGCTCTTGTAATAAATTGTTCCCGACCGGTTCAGTTATGCAGCTCTTTATTTTCTCCATCTTCAGATTAAATAAGTCACAAAAAAAGGGAGTCGCCCTGTCTGAAACACCGTTTGGCGGCGAACGGCTCGAAGAGGTCTTTTCCAATTCTGATGGAGCAGGTGGTATTGCTCATCGTCATTTTACACAGGTGTATCAGTTTGGCGGGGATGCCAAATGCAGGCATAGCGGCGTATAGGCAACTCCTTTTAGTGCTGTCTAAAGCGGTTTAAAAGTCGAAAAAATAGGTGATAAGTGTCGATCCTTTTCTCGCGGGTCTTTTCCACGATTTGTCGTTCTGTGAATTCCTGGTCTATGGTGGATTTTCCAGGCCTAAAGCCACACTAATAAAGCCCAATCAGTTCAGTGACGGTGGGCTTCAGTCTTTCACACAATACGCTCGGTAAGACCTTGTAAACTGTGCTAGTAGGGTGGAATAGTGTTCCCTCCATAATTTAAGTACGTTCTGAACATTCGTAACTAGGTCGCCATTATTGTTCTTACAGGAGTATGCCTTGTTTTTGAAACCTTCCGTAAGTCGCCCTACTCTTTGGTAAAATTTTCGGGCATTCTTGCTGTCGGCCAGCATTTTAAGCTCTTCGCACTCACGTGTTTCGGCCTCTCTCTTCCTATTGTGGCAAATACGTCTCGCTTCCCTCTTCAGATCCCTATAGCGGTCTCAAATAGCGCGCGTTGCGCCCGATCGCAGCGTGGCCCTGAAGGCGGCATTTCCTTTCTCTGCAGCTCCCTGTCACTCGAAATCATAGCAGTTGTTTTTTCGGGCTCGCTCGAATCCGATTACTTCTCCGGCGGCGGTACTTAATGAGCAGGAAATGTGGTTCCACTGCTCGCATATGTCGGTTTGTTGAAGAGTGCTCTCAGTGGGCAGGTATGAGAGTCAAGTATCGAATGCATTGGCTGTCTGTTGTGATTGCAGCTTTTCGACTTTTAGGTTCCTTTGCATATTGGGGCGCACGTTTTTTGCTGCACAGAGGCGGGTGCGTATCTTGGCTGCAACAAGATTGTGGTCCGAGTCTATGTTTGGGCCTCGAAGTGAACGTACGTTAAACACACTGGAAGAATGCCTTCCGCCTATCAGAACATGATCAATTTGGCTTTTCGTTTTTCGATCCGGACACAGACGTAGCTTGATGAATGTTGTTATGCTTGAACATTGTACTACATACTACCATGCTTCGGGTCCCGACGAAGTCGATCAGCCTCAGTCCGTTGTCGGACGTTTCGACGTGGAGGATGAATTTTCCGACGGTGGTTTCAAAGATCCCTTCCTTGCCCACCCTGGAATTGAAGTCGCCAAGCACGATTTAGATATCGTGGCGGGGGCAGCGCTCGTATGTGCGCTCCAAGCGCTCATTGAAGAGACCGTTGTATACCTCGTCCTTCTCTTCCATCGGCGCATGGGTGCAGATGAGCGAGATGTTGAAGAATCTCGCCTTGATGCGGATTGTGGTTAGATGCTTGCCCACCGGGGTGAACGACAGTACTCGGCGACGGAGTCTCCCCCCCCCCCCCCCCCCCCCCCCCCCCCCCCCCCCACCACAAATCCAACACCGAATTTGCCGGCAGCTGTAGTAGACGTCCCACATATTGCCCTGTCCAACGCATTTCTTGGATGGCGGTGATGTCAGCTTTTGTCCTTACGAGGACATCAACCAGCCGGGCAGAGACACCTTCCCCATTAAGAGTCCGGGCATTCCAGGTGCATGCCCTCCAATCGTCGTTTTTTAAACGCTTGCCGTGGTCGTCCATCACTAAGGGGGTCTCATCCGAGGCATTGTTTCGCATTCTTCACTGGAAGGGGTTTTTACGTGGCGGGTCCCATACCCAGCGCACAACCCATTGCTGGGACGGGGGCGGTTTCACAATCAAATACACGTTTATATAGGGAACCGCTTGCTCCAAGACAGACACCCGCTTGCAGTAGCACCTACTGCTGAACACCGAACTACACCTACTGGAGAGCCGAATAAGTCGGAGTGGCCCCACAGAAGCTCCCTCTCTTTCTGCCGTGACCCAAGGCTCCACTCGGAGTGGATACCGCATAACGCACATGGGTTGCTCACGTTGTCCAGAGTACGCGAACGAGGACACAAGAGTCCGGATTGAGTATAGCCGTGCAACTGTAACTGCATACCCAGCACTACGACTATAACGCATGGCACTCCAAAACCAAAAACTAATTACAACAAATTCGAAAGTGGACTTTTCTCCAGAAATTTTGACAAATTTCCCATAACGCAATGACGGAATATATTGAGTTTTCAAAGTAACTAGTGTGTCTTCTATACTGTTCCGCATGCCTTGTCAAAAAAGAACAGAAGACTGATTCAGAATGACAACGCTTAGCTGTGTGACACCTTATCGACTAATAGCAGCATATCACACACGATCTTCAAAGGTGACACAACTCAAAACCACACGTTTGTCAGAAAATGCGAAAAACCATTTCTTAGCACGTGATAATTATATGGGCAAGGGAGACTTTACCTTAGGTTTTTTTTTCGATTATAACAAAAATTAGCTCCAGGTTTTGCTGAAAAGTAAATAAAAGCTCTATGTACATTTTAGCGCATAATATCAAAATTACCTAATTTTGAATTGTGGCATTTTTGAAGATCGTGTGCGATATGTACATTGCCTTACAATAGTTGGACACTTCCTCGTACCATTTTAATTGATATACATAGTAAAACGACAACTGAAAAACACCAATGGTGACTACCAATCACTTTAAGTAGATTACATAATTAAGCAAATGCCTCTGTACTTTAAGCGTCGCATTAACATGGCATTAGGTTGGTGTTATGCGACCAAAAGCCAACGTTAAGCATTAAGCCATTAGACAAACACAAACACCAATCAAGAAAACAACAACAAGAAATCAAAAATAGCAGAAAAATAGTGCAAAACAATGTAACAAAAAAAATTCTATTCACATACACACATACGCACATGCCTAAATAAAAAGTAGCAAAAAGTGAAAACAGCAAAAAATTGTAGTAGCTTAGCAAAAACAAATGGCTTCAAGCAGCGTCGTTGCAGTCGATTACCTAAGTTTCAAGTGTAAAATGCTTCTCTTCCGTTTTTTATTCCTTTCATGCCGTGCAAAGCGAACTTAGTTAAAGTGCAAATGACAACACTCAGGGCAATTAAGTGCGCCCCAAAGCGTACTTAAGTGTGTTTATACGATACGTATGTGCTTACTCACATATCTTAACATCCATGCGTATGTATGGGTGTACATAGTTATTAACTTGCATTTGTCTACATAGTTTAAGTAAGCAAAGCTTATGAACATACTTATCTACATATACTTATATGTATTTTGTAGGCAAGCAAACAAATGTCGTACATCCGAAAGGTAAAAATCAAAAAGCGCCAAATATAGGAAAACAGCCATTGAGCGCTATAATCGCAGGTGAATACATACATACATACTTACATAATTTTAGTTCATTTTTCCTTCCACATTTTGTTGAGCTTCTAAAAGCAAAGTACATACACGTATTTCGCTTACACACGGCGATTTAATCTCAATAATTGCAAATTAATACAAACTTACTTACTATCTATGTAGTTGTAATATTTTAAACATGTGTACATACATACAGAAATACACCAAAACGTCTACGAAGAAGTTGTATAATTGCAAATTTTTAGAGCACACTTTAAACATTCCACATGTACATACAATTAGCTTCAATTTCACTAGCAGTTGGATTAATTTGCCTATAGTATGTACTAGTAGGTATGTATATAAATATGTAAATACTTATGTAAAATACATTTTTGAATTTTGTAAAAAGATGTAGAATTCCGAGTTTTACTATAAGTTAAAAAATAAATAAAATCTAAACAAAAAATTTAGTTAATTCCTATTAAGAATGCATCTTAGAATGCGTGTAGACTTAAAAGTGTTAAACCATTTCAATAATTGTTTTTATACTGCTTCGTCTAAGCATCATAGTGACGATGTATTCGCTTTTAAAAATTATATGTACATCTAAACGCGTAAATGGCTCTCAACCACGTAGCCACGTAAACCTCGCAAGCATAATTAACTTTGTATGAGAACCCGATTTATTTACGAGATTTACGCGGTTACGAGGCATTCAAACGTTTAGATTAATTGCCCATTGTACTTATTAGATTTGTGGTCCATTGCAGTTCAGAAGGGCGTAGGAAGTTATTGCTCTCCGTAAACTTGGCGGATACTTTAATTAATCTTGGCAGTTCGTTGAGGGAAATCTATGAACTTGTACGGCACTCCCAGCCTCCAAAAAATGCCTCAAAACGGCCGCCCGAGCTCAAATAAACTAACTAGTTTCGGACTAGTCCCAGACTTAATCCTAACTGATTCCTGACCCCAAATACTAGTTACCAATTGGTCCTAAACTGCTTACCAACTGAGCCGCCGTACCCCCCCCCCCCCCCCCCAAGTGGTTCCCAAGTCAGTCCAACAAATTCAGCCACTGAGTTCGTCTCTGTCTAGCCCTTCGATTTTTTTTGCTGGGCTGTGCGTTACAATTTCGCAAATTTTACCCCAATCAATAATTCAACGAAATTCTGATGCATAAGTATTGCATTTATCAGACTTTATTTATATCCTCATGCACATGCATATATGTATGTATGTACATTAGGGTGGTCCAAAAATACACGTGGAAAAGTAAAGTCGGAATTTTTATGCTCTCACCCCCTAGGATTGTTCTATATCGAAAAAAATACCCCTATTTTTTTTATTTTGAAATAAAAAAATATTTAGAGGTCGCTCAAAGCGCTCAAAGTTTTCCATGTATTTTTATATGGGGAAAAAACAACTTTTCGTAGAAATGGTATAGAATTCTTAAAAATCAATATTTTTCCCAGATCCCCAGATTCCCAATAATAATACCAAAATTTTTATGTAACTATTTTTTCATCGCAACTTTAATTTATAGGTCCGCCAAAAACCCCGAAAAATTCAATGGAGGACCAATAAAAAAATCGTTAGTATTAAAAAATGGTTAAATAAACAATTGGGTCTTATTACTGAAAGTCTCCTGAAGAGAACCAGTGTTTTCCGTTCGAAAAATATTCGTTTTCAAGAATTCTATACCATTTCTACGAAAAGTTGTTTTTTTCTCATATAAAAATACATGGAAAACTTTGAGCGCTTTGAGCGACCTCTAAATATTTTTTGATTTCAAAATAAAAAAAATAGGGGTACACTTTTTTCGATATAGAACAATCCTAGGGGGTGAGAGCATTACAATTCCGAGTTTACTGTTTTTGGACCACCCTAATGTACATACATACGAGAACCAATTAAATTTCATTTTAAGAAATGGCGTGTCGTCCACTTCCGCTGTAGCGTATGTAGTGGACAGTGTTGCCAAACATGGGCTTTTCCTACCAAAACTGGTAGGTTTTTTTCCATTTGGTAGGTTGGTAGGCTAGATTGTATTTTGGTAGGTTCCGCGACAATAATCTTTATTTGCGAAAAATGTAAAATATGTATCTCAAAACATTTTAGCAACTCTGTTTACACGAATATTTCACCGGTGGAGTCCACCGCAATCCACCTGACAGCGACTTCATTGTACGACTTGAGGAATATCACCAAAACTAACCTATTGGTCTTTCAATATGGGAGTAGATAGGTATTCAATTGATGAATGCACTGCGACCAGGAGATCGATTGTGCCCTCAATATGATAGTTGGTTCCGTTGTCACATATACGGCACTGGTTTGGTGACCAAAACCTACGCAAGTAAAGGCTGGTTCCACCTTTAGTAAGCTGCACCGACTGGTCCGCGTGGCCAATACAGGAGCTATGGGCACCTGTCCAACGGATGCTCTTTTTCTTTGTCTTTTCTGTTTGAAAAAGAGAACTGTTGGAGTGCCCTATGACTGCCTAATATGATCAGCAAGAAAATTTAGTATTTTTGGATCAGTTGGAGGTTCTAAAGCCATTCTAGAATAATCCCGAGATATACTTCTACAAACCTTACGAAGTTAGAATTCCTGAAAGGGACTGCTGTGGAGTGATAATAACTATATCAAAGATGGACGAGGAGAGTACTGGGTTAGGCGAATTGGGACCAAAATTCCAAAAAGTCTGCCAAAGTACACACACCCAACTATATTCAGGCGAAGGACAAATGCGGTCAAATTAAATATTATGTCGGATAGTCAAGCAGGTTAAAGGCATTATACTCTTTTAAACGGCAGCAGGTTTGTTTAAAGCTGTAAAACTTTTTTGAACCACTAGGAAGCACACAATAACGTAACGCTGTGGTGTGTTCCGGGACATGAACGGTTTGAAGGCAACGAAAGTTGACTGTCTCGCAAAGCGTGGAGCCCAAATGCGCTTGTATGATCCCTAGCCTTTTGTGAGCTGGTGGAGGAAACCATAGAGCATATTCTATGTGACTGCTCATGTATCATAAATTGCAGACTGATACACTTTGTACTTTGTATTTTTTGTACTGACTACGAAACCGTAAGTATAAAGTTTCCATCAGCTCCAGCTTTTGAGAAAAATTAGGTCGAAGTATCAAAAAACGCATTATTTGCCATCGTTTAGAAGGTGTCCCATTTTTGCTGCCTTGTGTAATAGGTGTCTGGACAAACAACATTGTAAGTTGATAAAAGCGGTGTAATGTAAAATGTCGAAAAACGTGGCAATGTACTGAATAGTTTATTTTACTTGTCTATGGGACGTTCCACGTATAAGATACATTAGATGTGCATAGTAACTTGTCCAGTAAAGAATTGCAGCGAGAGCGTAAAAGCAAACTAGAGCGTAAAATTGAGAAGAAGAGAAAACTAGCAGAAAGAGTTATTGAACACAAAACTAGTAAAAACTTGCAAGTGAACAGTTGTTGCACTGTTTTGACAAATTTTTACAATTTATAAATCAGTTTTAAACATTTAGTGCTATACACACAAGCACCTACACAGTCTAGTACAACATTCATATTTCGATTTCCACTCATTTTATGGAATTCCAATCCAACAAATGGCGGTTCTTCTTCTGCTAGCTGATTTCTGCTAGTAAAAATTACACTACCAAGACTTGCAAATTTTCTGGGTTATAATACATTTTTCCATTAAAAATTTGCAGGTTCCACCACAAATTGGTGTTGACTTTTTGTTATACACACACACCTATTATTATGATAGTTCCCGCCTTCCACTCCATCTGAAATTATTAGATAGTACGAATTGGAATATAATTTTCGAGTAAGTTTAACTTTCGAATCGGATTAAAAACATATTTAGTTGTAAATTATTAAAACAAAGAGACTGTACATAGATATGAGCATAATTTTATTATTATTTATTAGCTACATTTTAAATGTATAGAACAATAGAATACATCGTCGGTCCATACGAAGAGTAGCACATTTCATTATTCGCGTGGAAGAGTAGCACATTTCAGATTTTTGTGCTACATTTAAGGTTTGAAGTAAATCATAAAAGCATAATTTACGTTGAAAATTCAAGTGTTTATTTTATATTTCTATAATTGTATTATAAAAATTATGAAATTCAGACGGCAGTAGTTTCGCCGCCTTTCTTATTTGCGTTGATGAACATGCTGTTGGCAACACTTTGCATGTACAACATGAAGGCCAACGACTAAACGTACTGGAAAATATTGAAATATACAAAAACACCACCACCCTGGGGTTACCAGGGCAAAAATCACCGACTTTTACCTACCTGCAGGCAAAAACTATACAGCGACAAGATAACGGATGTTAATATCGAGACAGCGAAGATTAACCTATTACCAGCTTCTAAAAAAAAAACGGACACTATGGCATTTCTAATAATTAATCATCGACGAAAATCACATTACCTATGATAAATGAACATAAATTAAGGACAAAAATTCGAACCAGACAGAACGAAAAATAACATTGAAGATGGCACAGCGCCGAAACCGCAAACCAAACTTGACAAGGGCCATATCGGATCCGCCATTTTGATTTTTTTAAATTAAATGCCAATTTCGAAATCAGTGAAAAGCTCTGGATACCAAACTTCGTAACAAGCTATAAATTTTTTAATAAATCGTCCGCCAAATTGGATCCGCTATTTTGATTTTTGAAAATTGAATATCAATTTCAAATTCAGTGACGACGAAAATCTCTGGACACCAAGCTTCATAACACTATAGATATTTTTTAAGGAGTCGTCCGCCATATTGGATCCGCCATTGCGAATTTTGGAAATTTAATTTAATATTCGAAATCAGTGATGATGAAAATCCCTAAATACCAAATTTCATTGAAATCTGTCAAATGGAATAAACATTTTTGTCGTCCTATATTGTCAATTCGTCCCTATGTGCAATGTGAAATGAAAATTTCATGAATGAAATTTGGATGGAAATTTGTTGAAGTCTTTTTAGTTTTCTAAAAAGTTTTAAACTTGGGCTTATATGGATTTTTTTTAGAGAATGAACTTTATTTTAATGAAAATTCTTAAAAATAATTAAATAAACACAAGTGGAAAACAATACCACTTTGAAATGTGGTGCTCTTGATATGACCGATACTGCATGCGTGTATGTATATGTTTCTCGTAAATATATATGTAAATAGATTCCCAAAGGAAGACGCGAATTCGCGTCGAAACGCGTAGGAAAATAAACGTTTATTTTATTTATAATAAAAGACCGAAAAGCTCCGTACAGAATCTGAAATGTGTTACTTTTCCGAGCAAATAACGAAATGTGATAGTCTTCCAAGCAAATAACGAAATAACGTGCTAGTCCTCCACGGTAATTTGAGATGTGTTACTCTTCGTTGGAAGCTACGATTTGTATGTACAACTATTAAAAGCTCTACTTAGATATAAGCATGGTTATTTCGTAAATTGGATTCAGATACTTTGCTCTTATGTGATCTACAACGCATTTATCTATTAACTAGCAGGAAGAAAAATATTCGCATCCGAACCAATTTACTCACTTTGTAAATATATAATTTTATAAACTTTATGCTGAGAATGAACCCGTCAAACCCTCGGATACAGTTGCTGCTGTAAATACTTAATTTAAAAAGGACTTGCACACGCCATTCTACATACCAAGAGAAGATTTAACTGAGTACATTTATGAAAATGTGATGCCGAAAATGTATAGTAAGCTTTTGAAGGAATTTTAGCTCCGTTTTCTCAAATAGGTTTCAAACTTTTTCTGCCCTTTAAACACAAATATTATTCTTAAAAAATGTGTTTGAAGGGCAGATATATTTTAAAACATACTAGAGAAAAGGCACTTAATTTATTTATTTTTAAAATGCTGACAAAAAAACTGACAAAGATTAAGAAAAAATTACTTCATTCCTTTATAAATAGTTATTGACGGTTTTGGCTTTAAATTCGCTTGCTTCATCTTAATTAAAAAAAAAAAAACTTTTATTATAAAATTGCGTTGCATTGCGTGAATACACAATGTTTTTCTTTTGCCGGCATTTGAAAAAAATCTTTATTTATTGAAAATTTTGCTAAGTCACTCAGCATTCACATGGGAAGTGTTATTTTTGTTTCACTTTGACTTCAATTGTGTTTTTTTTTTGTTGTTCTGTAGTTTGCATTCACTGCAGTGAAACCAAAGGAAATATGGGACTTAAAATAACCACACATTAGGACCTTTAGTAAAAATTTAAGAGTCAAGCGATTTTCAAGTGCTGAATTGGTTGAGCTAAATCAAATATTTAGTTCGATCACTTTACATATCTCCAACAAGAGGTAAAGGAAAAATTCATGTGCATTTTTTATGAATGCATATTCTAAAAACCTGTTTTGTTGTTGTAAATATATATATGGTGAGCAAAACTTTGGAAAAGTTAATATTCTATAATTCATTTAAATTAATTATTGCATGAATATTTTAAAATTTGCAGATTAATAAATTAGTTTAAAAAAAAAATCAATTTTATAGTGACGGTTCATGCATTTTTGAATAGTAGGTACTTAATGATTTTCCAAACCTACCTACATATAACCAGTTGTTATTGATATTTACGTCTTAATAATTTAAGCTTTAGATTTTATAATGACTTCCCTAAGACAATCTTATTTCTAAGCAGATTTAGTAATTGAACCAGCGCTAATCGCTGACTTATCATTTCGACACCACACACTATCACCTTGCTTTGATTGCTCCTATATCAGCTCTGTCCAATTGACAAAAATTGCATTTTTTCTTAAACCAAAATACTTTGCAAAAATACATATTTTTAAGTAGTTAAATATATATGCATTCATTAACAATAAGCCGATTCTTTAAGTGTATTTGCTAAGCAAAGCTGTAATTTCACTAAAGAA